CAACCTGATTAGCTGGTCCTTGACTGTTGTTTTCCTACTTTGGATCGGACTTGGTTTTCGCTGCTATATCATTCTCGTATTGTCGTTGGGCCTCCCTCCTTACCTGTGCATATTTATTTCTGCCTCTTCGACTACTCTCCTTATTTTCCTGGGTCCTTTGCCTCCTAAACTTCTTCCATTCTCAAGCTTGTGTAGTCCCCTCTCTTGTACTTTGGCTTCCTCCACTCTGCCCTTCCTGCTTCCCTCTCTACTAGTAACTCTACTATGTATTCGAAGCTTAGAACCACGTGATCAGTAGCTCCGAGGGGTCTTTCAATTGCAATGTCCTAAACTTTTGCACTACTTAAGGTGAATACTAGGGCCAATCTGCCTGGTTAGTCTTCTCATCCCTCTCTGGTAGTGTTCCTAATGTGCTGAAGCATGAGGTTTTCCAGTACCACCTCCAATATCTTTGCCCTCCACGCTTCTGGACCCCAGTGTGGCTCCAGGTTTTCTCAGTCAATTTCTTTGTGGTTGAAGTCGCCCACAACCAGTAGTTTTGCACTTCCCATATGGACCCTTCTGGCCACTTCAGCCAATGTGCCAACCATTGCTCTATTACTCTCATCATATTCTTGTCTTGGCCTCTTGCTATTCTCTGGTGTGTTATATATCATGGCAATTACCCCTTGGGACCACCTGGCTAGAGTGTACCTCTTCTGTAGTCTCTTGCTTCTGATCTGCCTCCTCTCTCCAGCTCCTTAAAATTCCATCTGTTTTTGATGAGCAGTGCCACTTTTCCGCCCATTCTGTTCCCTCTGTCTTTCCTCAGGATCTGATATCCAGATGGAAAGATGGCAACTGTTATCATTCCTGTGAGCTTGGTAACTGTAAGACCTATGATGTCCGGTGATGCCTCTTTGATTATTTTATGCCAGTCCTTCCACTAACTGCATTGGTGTACCATACCTTCAGTTTCCTCACCAACATTGTGGTCTGGGAAGTTTGTGGGGATGAGGGAGTAGGGGACCTGACAGGTTGCTGTGGAATTCTACTGCATAGTGGGGGGTGAGGGCTGTGAGTGTGAATTGCGGTTTGTATTGGGGTATGGTTTTTGGCTGTGGAGTTCTGAGGGTGGCTCCGTGTGCATTTGGGCTTGTTTCTCTGCCCAGCTCTGGTTGTCCTCTGTTGACTCTATCCTTGCCTGTTTTTCTAGCCCATTTCGTTTCTGTGTTCACTCCTTTAGCTGTTGTCTTTCTATTCTCATTCAGTCGTGGTCTAGGAACACCCTCTTGTATGTTGGATTCCTTCAGCCGTGGTTTCTCTTTGTGTGTGTATGTGTGTACTCACCTATTTGTACTCACCTATTTGTGGTTGCAGGGGTCGAGTCTTAGCTCCTGGCCCCGCCTCTTCACCGGTTGCTACTGGGCCCTCTCTCTCCCCGCTCCATGAGCTTTATCAAACCTCGTCTTAAAACTGTGTATGGTTCCTGCCTCCACTACGTCATTTTCTAGGCTATTCCACTGCCTTACAACTCTATGACTGAAGAAATACTTCCTAATATCTCTCTAACTCATTTGTGTCTTCAACTTCCAATTGTGGCCTCTTGTTTCTGTGTCCCCTCCCTGGAACATCCTGTCTTTGTCCACCTTGTCTATTCCACGCAGTATTTTATATGTCGTTATCATGTCTTCCCTGACCCTCCTGTCCTCCAGTGTCGTCAGGCCGATTTCCCTTAATATTTCTTCATAGGACATTCCCCTTAGCTCTGGAACTAACCTTGTCGCAAACCTTTGTACTTTCTCTAGTTTCTTGACGTGCTTTATCAAGTGCGGGTTCCAAACAGGTGCTGCATACTCCAGTATGGGCCTGACATACACGGTGTACAGTGTCTTGAACGATTCCTTACTAAGGTATCGGAATGCTGTTCTCAGGTTTGCCAGGCGCCCATATGCTGCAGCAGTTATCTGATTGATGTGTGCTTCCGGAGACATGCTCGGTGTTATACTCACCCCAAGATCTTTCTCCTTGAGTGAGGTTTGCAGTCTTTGGCCACCTAGCCTATACTCTGTCTGTGGTCTTCTGTGCCCTTCCCCTATCTTCATGACTTTGCATTTGGCAGGATTAAATTCGAGAAGCCATTTGCTGGACCAGGTGTCCAGTCTGTCCAGGTCTCTTTGAAGTCCTGCCTGGTCCTCATCAGATTTAATTCTCCTCATTAACTTCACATCATCTGCAAACAGGGACACTTCTGAGTCTAACCCTTCCATCATGTCGTTCACATATACCAAAATAGCACTGGTCCTAGGACCGACCCCTGTGGGACCCCGCTCGTCACAGGTGCCCACTGTGATACATCATTACGTACCATGACTCGTTGTTGCCTCCCTGTCAGGTATTCTCTGATCCATTGCAGTGCCCTTCCTGTTATATGCGCCTGATGCTCTAGCTTCTGCACTAATCTCTTGTGAGGAACTGTGTCAAAGGCCTTCTTGCAGTCCAAGAAGATGCAATCAACCCACCCCTCTCTCTCGTGTCTTACTTCTGTTATTTTATCATAAAACTCCAGAAGGTTTGTGACACAGGATTTGCCTTCCGTGAATCCGTGCTGGTTGGCATTTATACTCTTGTTCAGTTTCAGGTGCTCCACCACTCTCCTCCTGATAATCTTCTCCAAAATTTTGCATACTATACACGTCAATGACACAGGTCTATAGTTTAGTGCCTCTTTTCTGTCTCCTTTTTTAAAAATGGGAACTACATTTGCCGTCTTCCATACCTCAGGTAGTTGCCCAGTTTCCAGGGACGTGTTGAAGATTGTGGTAAGTGGCATGCACAACATATCTGCTCCCTCTCTAAGGACCCACAGGGAGATGTTGTCTGGTCCCATTGCCTTTGAGGTATCGATGTCCCTTAGCAGTTTCTTCACCTCCTCCTCATCTGTATGTATGTCGTCCAACACTTGTTGGTGTATTCCTTGCTGGTGTCCCCATCTGGTCTGTCCCCCCAGAGTCCTTCCTGTCTCTACTGTAAATACTTCCTTAAATCTTGTGTTGGGCTCCTCACATACCTCTTGATCGTTTCTTGTGAGTTCTCCACCTTCTTTCCTCAGCCTTTCCCCGGCCTTGATGTTGTCTTCCTCCTAATGGGCTATCAGCTTTTTTCGGGTCTTTTTTGACTTTTCGATGTTTATGTTTTTCATACTGTCGCTGGGCCCCCCTCCTTATCTGTGCATATCGTTTCTGGCCTTCTACTAATCCCCTTTTTTTTCCCTGGGTCCTATGCCTTTCCTGTACCTTTTCCCATTTTTGTGCACTTTTTTTTGCCTCCCCCCTTGGGGTAAACCAAGGATGTTTTGGGTTTCCTATTATTTCTTTTTCCCTTGGGGAAAAAAAATTTTCCCCTCTGCCTCCTCGCACATTGTTGCCAAAATTTTCCATCATCTTTTTACGATTTTCCTCCCATTTTCTTCCCACTGAACCTCCTGCAGGAATTTCTATCCCTTTGGTAGTCCCCCTTTTATATTTTGGCCCCCTTCCCCTCAGTTCCTGTTACCTTCTCCATTGAAACTTGCTTATAATAAAAACTCAAACCAGTGATCGCAGCCCCAAAAGGGGCCTCTCGAAAGTGGATGTTTTCAATGTCTGAACTGCTCAGGGTGAACACAAATCCAGTCTTGCTGGCTCCCTCCCCTCTCTCTCTGGTTGTGTCCCTGACATTTTGCTGGGGTTTTTCAAGTACCACATCCACATCTTGCTCCCCATGTTTCGGGACCCCTTTGGGTCCAGGTTTCCCGTCGATCTCCCTGTGGGTTTAATCGCCCCCCTTACCATAACTTGCTCTGCTCGGTGACTCTTCTTGCCACCTAGCCAGTGGCCCCATCACCCTGTTGTTTTCTTCGTACTCCTCTCTTTGGCCCCCTGCATTTTTTTGGTGGGTTATCATCATCCAATGACTATTTTTTTTCCGGACTGAAATTTTACCTACAATGTTCCTTTTCCCCAACATGTCCCTGCCTTCATTTCCCAAATCCCCATCGGTTTTTATGAGCAGTGCAACCCCCCCTCCCCTCTACTCCTTCTTTTTCCTCGGATTGATATCCCTTGGGGAAAATTGTGTTGTTTTGTCTCAGCAGTTTTTTTCGTGACTGCTAGATTTTGGGGATTTTACGATTCTTTCGTTCCACTCCTCATGTTTATTCATTTTCCATGCGTTTGTGTACCAACTTTTAGTTTCTTTTCTAACATTTGGGCATGCAATAAAATTGGGGTTGGGGGAGCGGAGCCTTTGGGGGGGGCCTATATGGGGGTGTGGTTTTGGGGGGGTTGTGATGTGGGGGTGGGGTCAGAATGCCCATAAGGGACAGCTGTTGGGGTGAGGTTTTTTTGATATGGGGTTGGGGGCAGAGGGAACAGTGAGTGGGTTGTAGTATAGATTGCTCAGTTGCGTTGGGAATGTCGCGGTTTGGTCTTTTGGTGGGAGGTTCTGTGGGGTGTGTTTTCCCCTTCCTCCTGTGTCGGGGGTTCCTACTCATTTTCGTCATTGCCTCTCGTTCCTCCTTGCGTCTCTGTCCCCTCTCTTTCAGTGTAGCCCCTTTCTTCTTGTGTTCTGTCGCGGTCGAGGTAACTCTCTGGTCCCCCCTGTTTGTCCCTCAGTCTTGCTTTTCTCTTGCAGAATCCTGGTTCGAACTGATTCTTTCCTTGAAAAGTTACTCTGACAGGCCGTATCCTTCCACTCGCAAACCACCCAATTCTCTGAAAATTTGTCACCTGGGTCATATCGCCCTCACCTATTGTTTTCATGATGCCTTCAATCATTTTTTTCTCCTCCTGTTTTATTTCTTCAAAGTTGTCCCCCTTGGCTTCTTGGAGCCTGTACACAAAAACTGACCTCGCCCTTTCCTCCTCCCATGAGTCTCCATCTGCTTCCTCTGAGGCTTTTATTTTCCTTTTCCCTTGACATGTTCTTGCCTTCAGTCCCTGTCGTATCTGAAACTTCTATTCTCAGTGAACTGTCTTTCATGACCAGCTGTCCCTTGCTACTGCAGTTGGCTGTTAAAATCTCTGCATATAGCATACCTTCATTGTCTTCGGACCTGTCATTTGATCTTAGTGTGCTCCTCGTCTTTTCCCTGGCCCCACGTGGGTCTGATAGGGCCTTCGTGTACGTCATGTCTCCGTTGTTGCTTACCGTCCCCTTGTCTGCGCCTGACATTGAATTTCCTGATGTCACATCTGAATTGTCATTTGTCTCTCTAATCTGTTTCAGGCTTTGCAGTTTCTCTTCTAAGCACTGTATCCTAGCTTCTGCTGCTAAGACCTGTACTTCCCACTTCCTGCACTCTTCAGCTATCCGCTCCTCCATTTTCTTACCAAGCTCCACTATCTTCCTTCCCCACTCTTCCTCCCTTTTTTGGAGCTCTAACTCCCAGTCTTTCCTCCCTGGTTCGTCTACCAGATCACTGGTTTTCCGTCCTCTAGGGCCACCCATTTTTTTTTTTTTTTTTTTTTTTTTTTTTTTTTTTTTTTTAACCACAGACAGAAGGCTAGAGGAGGGAGAGGGTGCGAGGGGGAGAGAGAAAGGGTAGAAAGAGGGAGAGAGAGGAGAGAGAAAGGGTAGAAAGAGGGAGAGGGAGAGAGAGGAGTATGGGTGTGTGTGTGTGTGTGTGTGTGTATGTGTGTGTGTGTGTGTGTGTGTGTGTGTGTGTGTGTACTCACCTACTTGTACTCACCTATTTGTGGTTGCAGGGGTCGAGTCATAGCTCCTGGCCTCGCCTCTTCACTGATTGCTACTAGGTCCTCTCTCTCCCTGCTCCACGAGCTTTATCATACCTCGCCTTAAAACTATGTATGGTTCCCGCCTCCACTACTTCACTTTCTAGGCTATTCCACGGCTTGACTACTCTATGACTGAAGAAATACTTCCTAACATCCCTCTGATTCATCTGAGTCTTCAACTTCCAATTGTGACCTCTTGTGTCTGTGTCCCATCTCTGGAACATCCCGTCTTTGTCCACCTCGTCTATTCCGCGCAGTATATGTGTGTGTGTGTGTGTGTGTGTATGTGTGTGTGTGTGTGTGTGTGAGAGAGAGAGAGTAATCAAGTAATCAAGTGATTCTGTTAATTTAAGATTCTTGGCTAAATTCAACCAATATTTCTTTATATACATTTTGAACAAACACCTGACCTTTCCTCCCTCGAAGAAGTTGGCGACCATAATGATGGCACTAATATCCTGCTCCATAATCATCCTCCAGAAATCACCAATAGTAGATACATCTGTGTCTTTTGGTCCTTGTGCAGCAATATAGCCAATATTACCATATCCCTGTTAATGAAAATTGTTTTCATTTGTTTTCTTTCTCTGGTGACAAAAAAATTGATTCACTCTTTTATATATCATTATTTAGCTTGTACCAAAATGTTATCTATAATTCAGTTAGGTTAGGTTAGGTAAGGTTCGTCAGGAAACAGGACAAATGTTTCCTGACGCGGGTCTTAGTCAGATGATGACCCGCCTTTGGAGCTTTTGGTCATCTGACCGAGGCCTTCCGCTGGCTTACCGGTCCACCCCTTTAAAAATTATGGTCATTTATAACCATCCAAAAATAAAAAGGAAGAAAAAAGTGATGTATATAATTCAGTATAATATTTATATATACGATGTGTGCTTCAAGGCTTAATTAATATTTTAATATATTTATAGTTAAACATATTCAAAGACATTACAAATATTTAAGGAAATATTTATTGGATAACAGAAAATTATTTTTTAAATAGGTTATTTAAATTACCAGCTGCACTTCCAGACATATGATTGGCATTTATAAATTTTGAGTAGCATTTACCTTCTGATTGGTTGGGTACGATTCAGAACCGTCATTTCAGAGGTGCCGGTTCAGTGCCAGGCTTTATCGATGCCAGATAATTCAGCGCCAGGCTGTTTCACCGCCGGGTCATTTAGACATCATGTAGAGTACCTACGTGCAATTTTATCAAAATAATGTATTCTAACCCAAACCTAATTAGCCCTTTGTTTTAGACGTTTTAAATAATTTTTTTTTTTAATTTTGAATCAAATAATCCAATCACTTAAATATGTAATTCAACAAATTATTGTTCAAAATTACTTTTTTCGTATTTTATTGAATTGATTCTTGAAAGTACAGTGGCGCTGAAACCTTCTGGCAAAGAATAGTCTGGCACTGAAATGACCTGGCAAAGAATAGTCTGGCGCTGAAACGCCCTGGCAAAGAATACCTGGCGCTAAAATGACCTTTCAAAGGATAGTCTGGCGCTGAAACGCCCTGGCAAAGAATAGACTGTCACTGAATCGCCCTGGAAAAGAATAGTCTGGCGCTAAAATGGTCTGGCAAAGGATAGTCTGGCGTTGAAACGCCCTAGCAAAGAATAGTCTGGCACTGAAACGCCCTGGCAAAGAATGCTCTGGCGCTGAAATGGCCTGGCAAAGGAAAGTCTGTTGCTGAAACGCCCTGGCAAAGAATAGTCTGGCGCTGAAATGGCGGCGCTGAAATGGGCGATAATGGCTTGGGATGGTTTAGCAAAGACATTCTTAACAATAATGTTGACTAAATGAATTATAGCATTAGCTGGACTTACAGACAAGTGCTGGTACTGACGTAGTCAAAAGTAGCTTCAGTTTAAGCTAGACTTACGGAAACGTGACTGGCATTGATGTAGTCAGAATGGGGATCACCATCAATCACAGAGAGCAAAACTCTCGTGTCGTCATCTGTACGAAACATCAGAAATGTTATTTATATTTATCTGTTTTTATTATATAAAGAGCTATTTTCACACACACACACACACGCACTCAAACACACACACACACACACACACACACACACACACACACACACACACACACACACACACACACACACACACACACACACACACACAGTGAAGAGGCGGGGCCAGGAGCTTGGACTCGACCCCTGCAACCTCAACTAGGTGAGTACAACTAGGTGAGTACACATACACACAGCCTCTCATAGTATTCGGTCAGTTTTCCCACTCCTCAACCTCCACACACCCCTCAGAATACAGCACTGAAAAAGAAACTGAAGGTATGGTATACCAAAACAGACAGATAACAAATAAGTGTGAGCAGTGGCACAAAAGAATCATGGAAGCATCCCCGGACATCATTGCACTCACGGAAACAGACATGATCTTTCCAACCGAATATGAGATCCTGAGGAAAGATTGAGGGAATATAGGTGGAGAAGTTGCACTGCTCATCAAAAGCCAGTAGAGTTTTGAGTAGCTTGAAGGATTGAACTGAAGGGAAGCAAAGGACTACATAGTAAGAGCACTTCAGACTGGAGGTCTGAATGTACAACCCACCACAGAATAGCAGGTCAAAACATAAGTCTGACGAGAGCAACAAACATGGCTTCTGAAATTTAACCTCACCAGAGTGGAAAGTCATGAAGTTCTGGGAAGGACAATGAAAACCGCAGACGGAGTACAGCCTAGGGAGTAAAAGGCCCCAAAACTCGCTCAAGGAAAAGGATCTTTGGGTGAGCATCATACCGAGCACATCTCCCAAGGAGCATATCAACCATATAACCGCTGCGGCATATGGCCACCTGGCAACCCTAAGAATAGTGTTTCTACATCATAGTAAGAAATCATTCACGACACTGTACGCCGTGTACATCAGGCCCATATTAGAGTATGAAGACCAGTTTGGAACCCACACCTGGTCAAATATGTCAAGAAATATAGAGAAAGTGCAAAAGTTTGCAACATGATTAGTCCTAGAGCTAAAAGGTATGCCCGTAGAGGTTCCGGGAACTTAACCTAACGACACTGGAGGGATTGGAGGACATGATTATGACGTATAAAATGCTGAGAGGACTTGACATTGTAAACAGGGAGAGAATGTTTCAGAGATGTAACAACTCTGAGGAGTCAGGGATGTCATGAAGTATTTCTTCAGCCTTAGAGTTACTAGGACGTGGAACAATCTGGATAGTGAGGTAGTGGAGGCAGGATCTATTCACAGATTCATGAGGAGGTTCGATAAGGCTCTTGGAGGGGGGAGAGAATTTACATAGTAGCGACTAGCGAAGAGGCTAAACCATGAGCTATGTGTTGACTCTTGCAACCACAAAAAAGGTGAGTATAAATGAGTACACAAACTAACGGATCAGTGGTCCAGATGCTCCTACTCTTCTGTCTTCCTTGAAGCGGGATGCCTTGATACAAGTGAAGAATTCTTGATGCAAGTAATTGGAGCTGCCCTCTTTTTCCTCTGATCAACCTGATCTTTCTCAATCCCTAAGTGTTGCACGATCTTTAATATTTGGGTGCTCTTCCAACTATATATGTGTATATAATATATATATATATATATATATATATATATATATATATATATATATATATATATATATATATTATATATATATATATATATATATAATATATATATATATATATATATATATCAATCTGATCTTGCAATTGGTTTTCCTAATGTTTTCGAGGGTGTAGAACCGCAGCTTCTTGCGCTGCTATTTTTCGTCCTTGCTGTTTTAGAGCGTATTGAGGCCTAGCTCTTGGCCCTGCTATTGTTCTTCATTGTGTTAGAGTGTATTGAGCTCCATCTCCTGGTTTGGCTACAGTTCTTCCTGGCTGTGTTAGAAGATAATGAGCTTCAGTTCCTGGCTTTGCTTCTGTTCCTAATTGTGTTCTAGGGTGCTTAACTTCAACTCCTGGTCCTGCTACTTATGTTTCTAGCTGCATTAAAAGATGTTGAGGTTCAGCTCCTTGCCCTGCTGCTGCTGTTCTTAGATGTGTTAGAGGGTTGTAATTCGACTCATGATTCGCACTACAAGCGAAACATTTAGTCAATAAAGGTTCCTAATTTTACACATGTGTCTTACTTATCACATTGTCAGTAATGTATACCATATATGTGAGAGTGGGTGTATTGCTCGTATCAGCATTTGAGTTCTGGAGATGAGATCTTCGATGCTGCACTTTGACATTTGGGTAGGGATGCTGATCTTTGGAGGATCATCTGACTTTCATGGGAGCATATTTCTAACACGACAATTACTGCAAGAATGACAGTATGTTTTATTTGCTTTGAGTCACCTTGCATGGCATGCTAGGAGTATGTTACACTTTGTTCGGCATATGTCACACTATCATAAAGGCTGCCTCCCGACCAGCGAACCAGGTGCTAAGGATTTAATGATCAATAAAGGCCCTGTCGTTATATCAGTACCTCGGTTCATTGGCCAATCACAAATAAGATCGCCAAAGTTGTGAAGCATTGTGGTTCACTGGTGTCGCGAGTTTTGGCAGATTTGTCTGGGCTACTGATCTTTCACGGTGTCTTGTCTGGCTCTTACATTTTTGCCTCCTTTGATTACCGCGTTGTATACTTGCTCTTACATTCCTGTACATATTGTTAATAGTATACTTATTGTAAATACCAGTTTGCTTATTTGGTGAAGAAAATACAAGTCATATATAACTTCTGTTGTCTTCTGATTGCTCCACGATTTTTCCATTACAACAAGGTGTGCAAGACATTCTATATCTGTGTTCGTAATATCTTATTTGGATGGGTAGAAAAAAGTAATAATATTGTTTTATTTAAACACATAATTTCAGATTAGGTTAAAAGAGACGGCAGAGTTTTATAATACTCACATGGGATGATTTTATTAGAGCGATTTTTGAGCTTGTTCTCTGGTTTTTGTCCAACATATGTACTCTTCAAATAGGTCTCTGATGTACTCTGTTGGGGAATAGTAACTGTTTATATTACAACAGAATTACCGGAGGGTTGGTGTTTGTCACAATGAAAAACACACAGAAATTTTTAACTAAAGCACACAGTAAAATATTCTGCAATACTAGATATAAACGCTGTATTATTGTTGAATAGTATATTTTTAAACAAAATGTAACTGCTATGCTGCGAAAATAATTTTTAATGTAATAATAATATACAAAAAAAAATATTTTAAATGTTTGTGCGAGGATGAGGCTGGAGGCAGTAGAGAATTTGTAGTCTGGATTTTAGATGATGATGAGAGGTTACTAAGAGTATTGTAGATGAATGTTTCAGAGAACCGACACATTGGTAAGATGGATATTTAGAGATGATGGAGTAAAGTAGGATGTCTTGGAGGGTGAATAAATCCGTAATGAGGGAAGAAAGGGCAGGGGTTGTTCTAGGAAAGTTTGGAGAAACGGGATAAAGAAAGTTTTGTGTGAGGCATCTGGATATGAAATATCCATGTGTAAGCGTGTTAGATAGGAGTAAGTGGAAGCAAATGGTTTTCATGACTTGACATGCTGCTGGAGTGTAAGGAAATATTTATGAAGAGATTCAGGGAAACTGATTAGCTGGACATGAGTCCTGGAGATGGGAAGTGCAATGCCTGCACTATGAAGGAGAGGTAGAGATGTTACAGTTTGGAGGAGCACCTGAGCTGTAATGTCTGAATGTCTCTGGCAAGAAAGTGATATTGATAGCTAAAATGTTTTTTTTTCTCTTTCGGGTCACCCTGCCTTGGTTGGATGCGGCCCTTGTCTAAAATAAATGATAGCGTTTATAAGGGACGCAGGTGAGAAACAAATAAATGAATGATAGAATGATTAGGTAAATATAGTAGTAAGGAAGAATAATTTAGAAAATGAGACGGTTTTATAATATAAATTATAACATACTGAAAGAAAGGTACATGAAAAGAAAAAATGAGAAAAAAAACGTGGTAATTATGTATGGAAGACCAGTAAGAGGATGGACGAATGTTTATCAGCAAGTGTTGAATGGAAAAAAAAAACATTTGTAGGTAGATTTACAAGTTAAGAATGACTGGTGGAAAAAGATGATGTGAATGAGAAAAAGTGGATTAGAAATTAGGAATTTAAGGGAAACACACAGGGCAGATTAAGGGATAAAATGAAAAATAGAAGGTGGAGCATTGAGGAGAAAGTTAAGCAAAGAATTCTGAACTTTCCCAAAAATAGGAAACTGTGTCATATTAGGATAAATATAATTCAGAGTGTGGAACAAAGAATGAAGGAGAGAAGAATAACCAACGAGAGCAAGTTAATATTAATATAGGGATTCAGGGTAACCTTTAAGCAGGACTTGGATATTGAAGTTGGGAATTACAGTGCCAGCATTTAGGAGGGATGGGAATACTGCTGTTTGGAGGTCGTCTGACTTATCAACTTTGTATACTTCTAGTAACATAGCTATTACATGATGCCGAATGTTCCCAGATGTCCAATGCACTAATAATAATAATAATAATAATAATAATAATAATAATAATAATAATAACAATAATAATAATAATAATAATAAAAATAATATAATAATAATAATAATAATATTAATAATATAATAATAATAATAATAATAATAATAATGATAATAACAATAATAATAATAATAATAATAATAATAATAATAATAATAATAATAATAATAATGATAATAACAATAATAATAATAATAAAAAAATATAATAATAATAATAATAATAATAATAATAATAATAATAATAATAACAATAATAATAATAATAATGATAAACAAGAACTACTATTCTTGACGAAAAACAAAAATAAACAGAGAACAAGGTAGTTACCAGTCTTGTTTTGAGGGAGAACTTTTGCTCATAGTGAAGCATCTTAACTTCTGATTTATTAACGTTTCAGTACTTGTATATAGTCAACTTTTATTGTGTCACTTTCTTGTAAGTTCCACTTCCTAACTGATGTTAGGGTAAAGTGTATACTACCCCCCCCCCCCCGAGGATGCGACTCACAACAATAAATTAATATCCAGGTACCTACTTGCTGCTAGGTGAACAGGGACAGCAGGTGTAAGGAAACATACCCAACGTTTCCACCCATGACGGTGATCGAACCACGGACACTGTGTGTAGGCTGAGTTCGCTGACAAGGGCGGTCTAAGACAGACCGAAACGTTGCCTAGTTGATTTTCTATTTGTGGGTTAGTTCTTAAGTGAAGGCCTTTATATTAGCCGACGAAACATATGCTTCTTAAAGTGTTCTGTGTTTGTGGCCTTTAATGGACAAGTTAAAAAAAAAAATGCTTGCTATTGGGTTCCTTAGTATTATTACGTTTGATTCATTGAATTCTTTCTGAAGCGTCATTTCTTGTTCAGTCGTCGGTTTGATGATTGATTTTATTTTAGATGATTTGTTTGTACTGTCTGAGGTACTGAGACTGTAAAAACAAACAATACAATCTTATAATTACTGTCTCTCAGTCCTCTTTATATTGTCTGACAGTAGTCAGTCAGCCTCCTTCATTGTTATCATCTATTATTTTTCGCTTAATATGACTGGCTTGGCATTTCCTCTGGATGCTACACTTTAAAACGCCTTTCTGCTTCCCTTCTTTCTTCCTTCCCTTATGTTTTATTTTTTAGGCTCATCTTATTTTTTTTCAGCTATATGATGTCCTCTGTATTTTTTCAATATCCTTTAATACTTGAGTTGTTTTTATTGTAATTTTGTTAAAACGAGAGTACTCTTCAGTGACTCCATATTCACTTACCTGGTTCTCTTATACATTTCCACTTGTTGTAATCCGACATTTCTTGGGTGGGTTTTTACCACAGCATGTTATAATCACGCGCTGCTCCCAGGGGTGACTCCACAGTCCATTGTATTGTGTATGAGCCAGTGTAAAATAACACTTTATAAAACCACGTCAGTTCATCTGCTCCTCTCATTCTTGTGTTTAATATTCTGCTTTACGAAGAATTTCACAGGTGAGTCAATGAGTTGGTAATATAATTTAATCTATTATTTACTGAATGTTATGAAGCCATCAACCAGGTGCAGTAACTAATAGTGTCTCAATCATTTGACATGTCTCGAATTACACGAAGAAAATGAACTCTTTACAGGGGAAAATTAAAATCAACACAGTCTCTCTACCTGGAGAATCGTATGAGTCAGGCTTGAAGAAAGCTCAACACAGGCAATTATTCTATAAACAGGACATACATCCGCCTTTACTCATCATGACAGACCTCATTCAAAACTTCCTCAAACTTTCAGGTAACGAAGGTGCAGGATTTGCCTATCAAAATAAGAGGTTTTGTCAAATTTAGTGACGGCAAACTGAAGGAAGATATCGTCATCGGAAGTCAAATTCGGAACTTACTAAATGATACTTATTTTGATGGAAGTCTCCACAGTGATGAGCTGAGAGTATTGCTGACATTCAAGATCACTTACACAGGTTTCCTGGGTAGACATCACAGTGATGAGCCGAGAGCATTGTTAACATTCAAGATCACTTACACAGGTTTCCTGGGTAGACATCACAGTGATGAGCCGAGAGCATTGTTAACATTCAAGATCACTTGCACAGGTTTCCTGGGTAGACATCACAGTGATGATTTCAGAAATATTGTAGAAGAGCTATTGTTGTTGGATATTCCACGTGATTCATTGCCTCCATTCTCACCTTAACTTTCTCTTGCCTAAGCTCGGTGACGTTAGTAATGGCCACGATGAGTGATTCCCTCAAGAAAACATATAAGAGATATCTGACCATCAGTTTGATGGTCGACTACTGCTGGGAAGCGATACTGAATACAAGCAAATAACCCTGAAAACTGTGATATAAATATGTTTGTGTGATTCTATGGAAATTTCTATTAGTTTTCTTATGCCTAAATATATAATAAATTTATGTTAAAAAATACAAGTTGTTGTCATTGCATGCATCACACTTAAAATCTATAAATACTACAACACCTATGATTGTTAATTATCATATATTATATAATTTTTTAAACTTTACCAAAATACCGAACACAGGATTTCAAACAAATCTTACATGATAGAGACTAACCAGGCTCAGATTCGTGATTACCTCATCAGAGCTATGTTAAAACTACCAGTTTGGTTTCTAAACTGAATAAAAAGTAAATTTTGTTGGCTAGTGTAATTAGCAGATAAACTATTGGATGACAAAATGGCTCAGGACGTGATATAAATGACAGTAAGGAAACTGGTAACAGCAGACAAGACATGTAGGGAATGACAATACATTGAAAAAAAGACGAATCAATGAGCTTTAGGAGGCTGATAGTATATCAGGCAGAAGGCGATAAGAGGAGGATTATTATTTCGACTATTTAATGTATAGATGAGGTCAGAGGCAAATAGAAATTTTTCACACCATCTAAAATTATTTCTGATGCAAACAATTCACCATCTAACTAACCTTCTGGTCACAACTAGTTGGAAACAAGATAGTGATATAGAAATCATTGTTGAGAAGTATATAATACTTGAGTTGAGACTCGATGGAAATTGAGAGGGAGCAGTGGAGCGATTATATGAAATTTCATGAAACAGGTCCAACTCATGGCCCACAACACTTACCCAATAACAACAATAATTCCTCACCTTTTCCACTCATCGCTATATATACAGCTTTAACCGTAACCCATTCCCATGTAACAGTTCATTAACCAACTCAAGCCTCACATACTTCCCCTTCCTTACAGAAGTCTCCGATATGTGGTTTGTGATATACGAACAGCCTCTTAAAAATGCTAACCTCTGACTTCCATTTGTTATAGTATGACTTTCCCCCATATAACTTAATATAATTCTGCTTTTATTCTTTTGAACACCATGTAGCCCAGTTTCTGACGAGAACAAGAGACGTAAATAATGCCTGTATAAGATGAGGAAAACAGAGATTAGAGAGACTAGACTAAGGAT